GCATTCTGCCCAGGCTGCCCCTCCATGCAGGGGCAGGACTGGAGTGGACCCTAGGAGTTACAGCAGGAACTTCCAAGGAGAGACGGAGCATGGCCAAATCCAGTGTCAGCTCCTCCTGATCCCCCTTCCAGTTCCCCTGATTTGGCTAAGATGAGGCCAGGGATGGTGAGGTATGGGACTCAAACAAAGCTTCATTGTCACTCATAGGCTCCATGGAGAATCTTCCTTGGGTCCCAGCCTCACCATTCCAACTTCCCTTCAAGGAGAAGACAGCCACCAGATACTTAGACTACAGGAAGCCTGGAGGTTCAGCCTGGCTCCCCAGGGAGGTGATGTCGCTTGTTACCAGGACGAGGACTCTCCCTCTTAGTAACTATGGTCTTCTTGGAGGTCCCAGACTAATGGAGAGATGGATGTGGACAAGGCTATCTCCTCAAATCTTAGAGAATTTTATAGATTTCCTGACAGGGTCACCAACGTATCCTGGTTTGCTCAGAACTGTCTCAATTTTAAAAATTCCAAGTCTGATGTCCTAAAGACCCCATCAGGCCTAGGAAAACCAGGATGGTTGGTCACCCTATTTCCTGATGAACCAGCATCTTGAGAGCAGAGGGTACCATATCTCAAACTCAGCACATTTTGACAAAAATTACATAAATTAAATTACATAAATTAAAACTCCTTCTGCCGTTGCAAGGTTCTATAATCCTTTCCCAGTTCTTACCTCCTATCCTCATAACAACTCAAGTGCCATGAAAGGATTGGAGGCATTATCAGAAGAGTCGGCAACCATGGGACTGAGAATGTGAGGTTTGCCCCCAATTCAATGATGTTTATACTCAAAAGATCTCTTCTGTGGTCTTTCCTTCTTTTTGTAGGTTCTTGGGCTCTCATGACATACATCCCCCACCATGATCAGGGGAAAGTGTCCAAAGGCATATGGCCCTTCCATTGTCTTGTCCCTACAGGATGTCCATGAGTCCTTCCACATGTTTAGCATCAGTGTAGCAGCCAGACAAGACAATTACCTAAATCCTATACACCAACTGGAGGAAACACGAAGTTGCAGGCTATTACGCAGTGCCTATTTGATAGATAAGAATACAAACAAGAGGAAGGAAGCGGGGAATTGGAAGACAGTAACAGAGCCCAATCTGGAAAGTAAAGGAAGAGGAAGAGTCAGATCCTCGCCTCTACAGTGAGAAGCCCAGTAAAGCTCCCCAACTCTGATAAAGTATTTCCCTTTTAAAGCTCCTTCAACACCATTTATTAAGACAGGATAGTTCAGGTTTGGAGTGGGGAAGACTGGTGTTCTGACCTGGGGCTCTTATTGCACAAAATGAGTTGGTCCCTGCCGCATGGCGGGAATTGAGGGAAGGGGCATTCCGTGGGGAAGGACAAGCGGACACAAAGACACGGAGGTGAAATGAGCTCAGGTGTGCAAGAGACTCTAAGGAGACCAATTTAACTCACTTGAGAGGGGTGTGTTGGGAAGGAAGTTTGAAGGCTGGGATCTGGGAATGGGAAGGACACCTAGTGGGCTGGATATCAGGTAGGGGAATTTGGACTTTATTAAATAGGCAATAGGGGATCATTGAAAGTTCACACGTTCAGGGGCCAGCCCAGTGGCGTAGCGGCTAAGTTCAAATATTCTGCTTCAGTGGCCTGGGGTTCACAGGTCAGATCCCAGGCACAGACCCACACACCACTCATCAAGCCATGCTGTGGCAGCATCCGACATAAAAAAATAAAGACTGGGCCAGCCTGGTGGCACAGTGGTTAAGTGCACACGTTCCGCTTTGGTGGCCCGGGGTTCACCGGCTCGGATCCTGGGTGCAGACATGGCACCGCTTGGCAAGCCATGCTGTGGTAGGTGTCCCACATATAAAGTAGAGGAAGATGGGCATGGATGTTAGCTCAGGGCCAGTCTTCCTCAGCAAAAAGAGCAGGATTGGCAGCAGATGTTAGCTCAGGGCTAACCTTCCTAAAAAAAAGAAATAGAGAAAGACTGGCACAGATGTTAGCTCAGGGACAATCTTCCTCACCAAAAAAGAAAGAAAGAAAGTTCATATGTTCAAAATAGCCCTTCATGGTTGTTCTGACACTGAGTCATGCAAAGCCATTCCCACTTGGCATGCTACACACAGGCACAATTCCCTTATGCCACAATATACACACAGCAACACATTCCCCCTCCAACACAGACTCAATCCCCTATTGGAAACATTCATGCACAAAGAAACACTCTCATAGGTATGGCCACCCACCCAGACACAGATACAGCTGCACACTCAGACGTATACTCAAGCTCATGGACACATTTGATTGCTGACCTGATCACTCTCTCCACAGCCAGGCGTACAATCCTACACACTCACACACACAGTCACACAGCCATACATCTTGCCATGGTCAGCAGAGGCACAATCCCTCCCACGCTCCTACACTTCCTACAAGAAGCCACCGGCAATAGCTGAGGAGAAAAGAGGGTTGGCCCCAGAAGATACTGCTGTAAACCCTGAGCTCCCCTGACCCCAGTCACTCTCCTTGGGTTCAGAAGCCAGCCTGACCCTCCTCTCCAGCCTTCACAAGACAGAGACTTGAGAGCAGCAGCTTCACTATGCTTGGGGCTCCTGAATATCCAACCACCACCTCCCCTCAAATTGGGCCTTAGAGAGAAAGGATAACAAACCCCAGAGCCGAGATGCCTCCTGCCCCAGGGATGTGGGCCAGGGGAATGCAGGAGGGATGTTGCCTCTGGAGAGAAGGTGCTCCCAAGGCCTCAAACCCCATAAATGTGGCCAATAGTTCCCTCTTAGGACCCTCCAGTGACAGGCTACACCTGGCCCTTGCTGTTGTTCCCTCCTGCGAAGTGGAGAGGGCAGAGGGTACACTTGGGGCAAAGGACCAGGCTGGAGAGGGTGCAGATCTGTGTCTGCATGTGACTGTGAGCATGTCATACTGTGTGAGTGTGTGCTGTTTCTGTGAGGCTGCAATTGTGCATTACCAGCACTGTACAACATTGTCTTTGGTGTGGTGGGGCAGTGTGTGTGTGGATGTGCCCCCCTAGGTGACACATCTCTGCTGTGACCCATCATGAACCTATGTGAGTGTAGCCATGTGGGTGAAGGTAGGAGGCTGTGGGCCCTGAAGCTGTGTATTGTGTGACCAATGAGGAGTCTGAGTATGACTGGGTGTGCATGAACGGGCACTAGTATTGTGCACACACTGAGTAGGTGGTCAACAAAAGCACGAATGTGCATGATGAGTCCCAGGAGCTGTGCATGGTGCTACAAGCCTCCATGAACAGGACTATGGGAATGATCACCACCCTCCGGCCTCAGAGCTATTTGTTTATTGCATTTGACCATCTGTGTATGTGTTTGGTGATCTGGATCTGTGGGTCTTGTGGTCATGGTTATCTGCTTACTTAGGTGTGAATGTGTGCGCTGGGTCCACAGGTGTGCATGTGATTGATTGTGTCTGTGTATTTGCAGAGACCAGCTTGAGGCTACACGTGTCCGCATGCCTGCACAGGCGTGTTTGTGATTACATACGAATATTTCGGGAAACAGCTCACTGGATCTGAATGCTTATTGGGACCAATTTAAGCACAAGTCAGAGTAGGTCCAGTTTCCCAAAAAGCCCTTTTATAAGCAGGCGTTCGTCCTCCATCCTCCCCACCCACCCTGATCCTCTTTCCCTCCTGGAAAGTGGGACATGATTGGGAACTTGAGAAAAAAATGTTCTAGAGGGAGCCAAAGCCAGAAGATTCTTCTTACCCAATGGAGGAAGAAAAGGAAGACACTAGGGTATAGAGGGTTTTTATTTTATGATTTTTTTTTAATAGAGAAAGACATGGAAAGAAATCAGAAGGTTATTCCCCTCTGGGGTTGGCCTCAGCATAGCCTTCAGCAAACCTCTGTCCTAAAACCCCTCTCCTTTCAAGACCCTTCCTTGGAGAATTGACCAAGATTTCTGCCATGAGATTCAGAGAGGAAAAAGGGGAGGCATTGAAACAAGTTGCCTCCATCCTTAAGAGTTAAGTCCCTGCTCCTGGCAGGTGTGTCCGTCTGTCAGTAGTTTCTTCCAAAGGGTTGTGCGTTTGCTTGATGGTCAGTGAGTGTTCAATTTCATGGGAAAAGTTTTCATGGAATATGAGGAGCCATCCAGATTCTTTTTTTTATTTTCTTTTCCCCAAGTCTGAAAATATCTCTATGCTTCTCTCACACTTGATTAATATTTTGGTTTAGTATAGAATTCTAGGTTCAAAATCTTTCTTTTCTTCAGAATTTGAAGATATTGCTCGACTGTGTTCTGTCATCTACTGCTGCTGATGAAACATTTGATGGCAATCTGGTTATCTGAATATCATCAGATCCTGGCACCCCATACCCCTGGAGGTATTGGGTTCTTCTCCTCAATGTACTAAAATGTCATGATTTGGGTCTGGGTGTTGTAGATTCATATTCACTTCAATACAAACACCTGTGCCCTTCAGAAGAGGAATTTTTACTTCTTTGATATGTTCCTCCTTTCCATCTTGTGTTGGCTTTTTTCCATTCTTACTTTCCTGAAATAAATGCCTGTCGGTCAGAACACCTACCACTGTATTGATCCTCTCTCTGTTTTATATTTTCTTCCATATTTTCCTCCTTCTCTGGACTACATCCTAGGTGCTATGTTTTGTTCTCTTTTTGCTTAAAAACACAAAGTATCAAAGTTGGGCACAAACTTGAAGATCACCTAATTCAGTTCCCTTATTTTACAGATGGGGAAACTAAGGCCCAGAAAGGAAGAAGGTTCAAGAAGTAAAATGACTTGCCCACAGTCATACCTGCGTGCAGTGCCAGGGCTGTCTGATTCCAAACCCATGACTCTCCTTATGGTCAGGAAGCCTTGAGCAAGTTAGCAGCTCTTCACCCTTTTCCTTAGATGCTGGCGAAACGATCCACTAGCAAAGGAACCCCTGGGGTTCTAGGTGAAAAACCAGCCCAGCCATGGATGCTGCCAACAAGTCTTCAGAGGGAGCCCCATTCATCCTACTGGGACTGACAACAAATCCCGGACAGCAGCAGCCTCTCTTTGTGCTATTCTTAGTCCTGTATATGGTGGGCATCCTGGGTAATGGTCTCATTGTGGCCGCCATCCGGGCCAGTCCAGCCCTGCATGCACCCATGTACTTCTTGCTGGCCCATCTGTCCTTTGCTGATCTCTGCTTTACATCCGTCACTGTGCCTAAGATGTTAGCCAACTTGTTGGCCCATGACTGCTCCATCTCCCTGGCTGGCTGCCTGACCCAGATGTACTTCTTCTTTGCCCTGGGTGTAACTGATAGCTGTCTCCTGGCTGCCATGGCCTATGACTGCTACGTGGCCATCCGGCACCCCCTCCACTATGCTATGAGGATGTCCTGGGCCATGTGCACAGCCCTGGTAGGGACCGCATGGGTGGTGTCCCACACCCACTCCCTCCTACATATCCTGCTTATGGCCCGCCTGTCTTTCTGTGCCTCCCACCAAGTGCCCCACTTCTTCTGTGACCACCAGCCTCTCTTAAGGCTCTCATGCTCCGACACTCGCCACATCCAGCTGCTCATCTTCACTGAGGGGGCCGCTGTGGTGGTCACTCCCTTCCTGCTCATCCTGGCCTCCTACGGGGCCATTGCAGCTGCAGTGCTCCGGCTGCCCTCAGCCTCTGGGAGGCTCCGGGCTGTGTCCACCTGTGGCTCCCACCTGGCCGTGGTGGGGCTCTCCTATGGAACAGTCATCGCAGTCTACTTCCAGCCCACATCCCAGTATAAAGCCAAGGGGGGCCGTGTGGCCACTGTTATGTATAATGTAGTCACTCCCATGCTAAACCCTGTCAGCTACAGCCTCCGGAATCGCGATGTGCAGGGGGCACTCCGAGCCCTTTTCACTGGGCGGCAGATCTCAGCTGGCGACTCCTGAGGCCTGGACCCCACCAAGGACAGACTGCATCACCCACAGTGACAATTCATGATTGTGATCATCTGTTCTGTGCTTTCTCCAAAATCATAACAAGGGCTATCACTTTCTGAGCACCTACTACGAAGCAGATCCTTGCCTGATCTTACTTCATTCCCATAACCAGGGAAGCAGATATTGTGATTTAGTTTTATAGATGAGGAAACTGGGGCTTAAAAAGAATTGACGAGGGGCCGGCCTGGTGGTGCAGCAGTTAAGTGCACACGTTCTGCTCCAGCGGCCCAGGGTCTGCCGGTTCAGATCCTGGGTGCGGACATCGCACTGCTTGGCTAGCCATGCTGTGGTAGGCGTCCCACGTATAAAGTAGAGGAAGATGGGCACAGATGTTAGCTCAGGGCCGATCTTCCTCAGCAAAAAGAGGAGGATTGGCAGCAGATGTTAGCTCAGGGCCAATCTTCCTCAAAAAAAAAATAATTAAAAAGAATTGATGAGTTTACACATTTCTTAGGCGGTGAAACCTGGGCCCTTTCTGTCGCATCATTCTCTCTTCTTACAGTCACTCCCAGGCAATTAGAGAGCATTCGACCATTTTCTGAGGACTTAAAGCTAGGTGGGAGGGTGCACCAGCCCCATGTTTTGCTTTGGGGGAATTGGCACTTTATTTTCAATCACATCACCATGTATTGTCAAATAAATTGACTTCTCAACTATCTGGGACAGGGACAAAAGTTCACATACCCATGTGTCGAGGGCTCACCTCTCCCAGTGAAGCCAGTCTAGCACATAGGAGGCAGTCTGGACACCTGAGATGAATACATGGTTGTATTTTGAGGCTAGTAACCATTTGGAAGCTGTCCATTTTTCTCTTTCTTTGTTCTTGTGCTTGTTTGCTATGATGCCTCCTGTTCAGCTACATCCAGCATTCTGGAAGGAACGCTCAGTGCGCAGGCGCCATGAATAAATTAATTAAATTAAGCAAAGCAGGGAAGAAGAGAGCAGGATATAGCCATCAGGGGCAGATGCAAGAGGGATTTTTTTAAGTTTTTATCATATGCTAGCACTTCACTAATTTGTACCCACAAAAAGCACGGGTATGCTTATTGCCCCTTTATAAAAGAGGAAACTGAGGCTCAAAGATGGTGAGTGAGTTGGTAGCAGAGCCAGAACAAGCCCTTGTGCTACTTGAACTGCTCAGGTGTATTTTAACTGGGCCCCATAGAATCCAGACCCCAGGGTCTGGGGCGTCTATGGCAGAACTTGCAGGAAGAAATCCCAGACCGGGGCAGGTGCACTGTCTCAGGTGAGGATACATTTTGGGGTCTGAAAGGCCCTCATGATGTGCCCCAACTTTTACTAAACAGGTTTATGAGGTGGGAGCTTTTATGTCCTGCTCTGTCTCTCCAAGAAATGCACACCCACTTCCCCCCCACACGCCTCCCTCCCCGACTCCTCTCCAGAGAGAAGGAGGCTGCAGCTGGCTCATCCACAGGCCTCTCCAGCTCCCACAAATGAGCCTGCCACCGCCTAGTCCTAGAACTGCCATACTCTGTCGTTTAGATCTAAAAGGGAACTTGAAGGTCTTTAGGCCAGTAATTTTAGGAAAAAACACTTTTTTTCTAATGAAATCTTACACAGAAACATGACATATAAAACAAAAAGAAAAAAAAAGCAGGGGCCAGCCCCATAGCCGAGTGGTTAAGTTCCCACACTCCAGCTTCGGCTGCCCAGGGTTTCACTGGTTCGGATCCTGGGGGCAGACCTAGCACCACTCGTCAAGCCACGCTGAGGCAGCGTCCCATATGGCACAGCTAGAAGGACCTACAACTAGAGTATCAACTATGTACTGGGGGGTCTTTGGGGAGAAGGAAAAAAAAAAGATTGGCAACATATTTTAGCTCAGGTGCCAATCTTTAAAAAAAAAAAAAAAGCAGTATAGTATAGGCAAGGTGAGAGTCAAGGCCTGGAGCCCACCTTCTCAGCCTCCCCAGTGCTTCTCCTCCACTGCCCTGAAGGGCTCCTGATCTGATCCAACCCATTCATTCAATAAATTGGGAAAATAAGGCCCAGAGTGGATAAGGGACCAGCCCAAGGTCACTCAGAGGCAGTGGCAACCTTCAGGCTTTCTTGCTTGGCCTGCCGGTCCCCCATAGTTTGGCCCTGCCATGACGCTGACACCATCCTCTCCTGGTCTGCCTTCCTCCCGCCCCCATGCCCTCCTTGTCTGTTCGTGCTGCAATGCCAGATCCTCGCGAGTCTACCAATAGCTTGTCCCCTGCCCCACAACCCCCTTCCTCCCTCTGCCTTCTCTAAACTTCACAAACACACTGGTCACGATGCTCATCAACCACCCCACACCTGTGCCATCAGCCCTACCCTATGGCATGGTGCTAACCACCGTCTGCTAACCATCAGGAACCCTGCCTGAGTTCTCTCTGTATCTCTAGAACCTGCCACAGAGAACATGCGTGTGATACGCTGCTCCCTTGTCTGTCTTCTGGTCTCGTTCCAGGTAACGTTTCTACATAAGGGGAGAGGGGCACTGTGGGATTCAGGGGATTGTCAATAGTCGCTTCTTCTGACCCACTAGCCTTGACCTGGGCATCCTGCTCAGATGTCAGCCCACAAAACAGGCCACGTCTGTGGAGAGGTGGCTAACTCTTGCTGGTCCTACCACCCACATTGTAGCACAAACTTGCTTGCTCGTTGCCTCAGCATGGTCTGTGCCTTCCACAGGGTGACCATGACCAGCATCACAAGTGCTTTCAAGCCTCACAAGGGCCCAGTGAGAAATCCCCATTTTGAATGTAGGGAAACTGAGCCTCAGAGAAGTGAAGAGGCTTGTCCTAGTTCTTACTACCCGGCAATTTAAGTGCCAGCTCTCCCGACTCTCAGTATCAGGCTCTTTCCTCCATACCACAAAACTTCATTCAATTAAGTTATTAAATCTTTATTCACCATCGGAATGTGCCAGGCACTGGGATAGCTGATTCCTAGTCTACTTCTAGACCCCTACTAGAACAGACGAGAGAGGGGAATGGTGGGCACGCAAGCAGCCTCAGTCACCAGGCCTGTGGGTCCCTGGGGTCCATGCCCACCCTACCCTCAACTAGATCTGGACTCTCGTTTTAGTTCAGGTAGCCATAGAAGATGACATTGACCTGGAGACAAGAGGCTAAATCCTTCTCCCATCCCCAGAAAGACCACTAAGGAGTTCATAAATCCACTGAAGAATTTTTCCCTGAATCTTTTTGACATGAAACATAAAAAGACCAACTCTTAACACCTTAAGCAGAACAAAGGTATGCAAATGACTGATTCACTTCCAAGCAGCTCCCTTGGAAGAGCTGATACTCATCCCAGTGAGGCTGCTTCAGCTCAGGGAAATCTGCAGGCCCTCTTTAGAAGGCCTTTGAGCCACACAAGGAAACCTGCCTCTTCTCAACCCCATATTCCTTGAGTTTGTCCTGAAATGACTCCTGGCCATTTCAGAATCAATCTAGACCACCCTACCCCCATCAATATTTTCAACCCTTCAGTTTATTCAAAATAACATGTAGCACCAGGAACCACCTCATCTAGAAAAAATACATAATTACATTTGAGAAAAGAATTTGAGTCTGCCACTACACCCTCATTTTTAATGTAATCTTTATGCATTATAAAGTAAGGCAGCCTTTGTTTCAAAGATAGAGCAACTGGAGAGCTCTTAACAGTGAGAAAAGCTCTGATCATAAATGGTAAATTGATTACTCTTTCTAAAGGTAAAAAGGAAATTTCTATAACCTAAGTCTTCTTTCATGCAAGGGCTGCCACAGGGAAAATGCAGCCATCAAGCATGAAAAATAAACACATAAAGACTCTTTCTCAATGTGGAAATGACTCCTTTGAAATACTAGGGACGGATTAACATTCTACGAAGCTGATAAAGCAAGCAGACTTGCTCATTCTGAACCACGCTACTCCTCTTCCTCACCCTTGTCACGGTTCTTTGTCCTGTTTCCTGCACTCCTTCACCTCATGTCACTGTCCTGTTTTCTCTTTCTTGTTGCTTGTGTTCCTATTTCCTTCTCCTTTTGCCCCCTTCTCTCTCTCTCTTACTTTTATCTACTGGGCACTAGGACTATAGACACAGTCCTTGCCCTCAGGTCCATAACAGCATGCAGATTATGATCCAGACCAGGAGAGAGGTACAAAGTGCTACAGCAGCATCAAAGAGGGAGCCATGGCTTGAGACTGGGAGTGAAGGAAGAGATGAAGAAACTCACGGAGGCATCTAGTAGATTATATCAGTGGCCCCATTTCATTCATCCCTGAATCCATGCCTTTGGCCATATAACTTTGCCCTTCATCTGTGACTCTGGGCTGAGCCTTGCAACTTGCTTTGGCCAATAGGATATTAGAATGCACGGCACAGGGGCCGACCCCATGGCCAAGTGGTTAAGTTTGCATGCTCTGCTTCAGTGGCCCAGGGTTTTGCCAGTTCAAATCCGGGGTGTGGACAGGGCACTGCTCATCAGGCCATGCTGAGGCGGCATCCCACATGCCACAATAAGAAGGACCTACAACTAGAAATACACAACTATGTACCAGGGGCCTTTGTGGAGAAAAAGGAAAAATAAAACCTTAAAAAAAAAAAAAAAAAGAAGGCATGAAAAGAAGCTATGATATTGGGCTTGTTTTCTTGTGTTTCTTCATTGCCATGAGAAGGACCTGCCTAGCTAGCCCACTGGACCCAAGAGGAGGATGAGAGACTCGTGGAGCAGAGCTGTTCCAGTCAAGGTGACCCAGGCAAACCCAGCGTAGAGCAAAGCACCCAGCAGACCTGCAGATGCAAGAGCAAGTCCAGCCAAGATCAGCCAGGCCCCAGCTGTCCCACTGACACATAAGTGAAAATAAATGATTCATGTTTTAAGCCACTTAGTTTTGGGGTGATGTGTTACATAGGAATAGCGAACTGGTGAAGTTCCCATAACTATTTTTGATATTTGCCTTTTTCCCGAATG